AGAGTGAAAGCAGCATTCCCTTCCCACGACCAGATCTCTCCTTTGTCAAGGTTTGGGGTGAAGGGCTGGGATGCCAACTTCCTGCCCTTGTGTATTCACAATCACTGCTCCTGAGGACATCTATACTTGAGTACGGGAGTGGAGGGGGACCCCACAGACAGACACAGTACAAATGACAGAGAACAAGACGTCAACAACGTGGATTTTCACCAATCCCTCAGCACACTGTGTAGCCACGCTGAGCCTTGGTATTCTCAACCATAAAACAGGTATGAAACTTTCCACATATAATGCACAGGTTCAATTCAGTTCCCAAGTAAGGGGTGGAGAGATCTCTATACAAAGTACTGTTTTAGACTCATGAGGATAAGACTTGGTATCTCCTTCCCAGGCACTTACAGTTTGGTGAGGAAGACAGCATACAAACAACTGCTTATGACATGAGGTGGGATGTCCGCCATGTTAAATGCCAGAAGTGATAAGTGATAGAAGTCCAAGCAAAAAGAAGGTTCCTGGAGGGGAGGAGAGGGAGAATCTACAAAAGTATCGTAGATGAGGTCTGGGTCCCTATTACTGAAAGATGAGATGCGGGTGAAGATGTTCCTAAAATGAGAGGGCAACCCAGAGACTGGCAAGGCTGACCCACAGATAACCAGTCCCACATGGAACAAACTAAGCAGAAAAGAAAAAAAAAGAAGAAATCACCCAGGAGAATGTGGATAGGTGTGAACTAGGTACAACTTAAAACTCCTGTATATCATGCTACGTTATAAACAGAACAAAAGCATACACAACCCTGGCAGAAACTGTCAAGCATATAATAAATAATTTCACATCCTTACTCATAATCTCATACAATTCTATATGAAAGTATGGAGAACCTAATAGATAAATCAGCAGATGGAAGTGGGCAACGTAAAAGTAAAATAAAGCTAACAACATGTGAAAAAAATACTCAGCCTCACTTAGTACCAAAGAAATACCAAATAAAACAGCAGGAGAATGCCTTTAGTTAAAAATAAAAGTCACGATCTATTCAGGGTTGGCCAGGATGTAGTGAGAGGGGCAGGCACGTGTGAACGCAGCTGGGAGAGTGTAAATTGGATTAACTTCTAGAAAATAGTTTGGCAGTCTATATGAAGAGCCTTGAAAATGTTTACACCCTTTGATTCAGTAATTCCACTTGTGGGAATCTATCCTATGAAAATAATCCGAAATGCAAGCAAAGGTTTTTTTTTGTCAAAGAGAGTCTTCAAAGAGTTCTGATAAACAGTCCAACAAGCCAAACATTGAATACTGTTGAAATAAATGATGGTGCATATCCCAAAGTATTGTAGCCATTAAAGGGTATGCTTCTGGAGAATTTTTAAATCTTTGGTAAAGCTTGTGTTCTTTTTAAATTATTTTAAGACATATATACATATGGCACAACTGTACACGCGTTTAACGAATAGACCAAAACACTGCAGAGATGTTAGAAATGATGGCCTCTGGTGGTGCGATTCTGGGCACTGCTTTTGTTTATTTTTACCCCGGCTTCACACTTCAGACAATAGGCATATGCTTTTAGAATGAGGGAATGACAAGTCATTGGTGTGTGAAAACGCATAATGAGAAACAGGCCTAATCCTAAAGTGTGAATGAAACACAAGCTTACACGTGTTCCATAGGTTGAGGAAGGCTTTCACAGGGGTTTTTACTTTGCTTATATTTTCTTCCTTAGGGCTAGGAACAAGGGTAAGAATGTCCTCGCTGTATATAATGATCCAATATAAGACACTGGGAAAAAATACTTTGAAAACTAAAAATCACCATGCAAATGTGAAGAAGTGTTCTTATTATCCTAAATGCCTTTTCCCTGAAACAGGGGCAGGAAGGACAGGCAGTGTCATTGGGCAGGCAGGGCCCACCAGCTGGGGTGGACACACCAGTGCAGCCCTCTCAGCAGCCCCCAGCTGGAGGCCACCTGCCCAACACTGCCCCTGGCCCTCAATTGGCAACTTCCCTCTGTGAAGTGGAAAGAACAGAGTGGCCCTGTCGCTGGAGATGGTGAGTGAGCAGGCAGGTCAAGTGCTGGCGCTGTGCTAGGCAGGTAGAAGAACACTGTATATGATGCCAGGTGTCCTTGCTGTGATCTGTGACAAAGGCCACAGCCCTCCCCTTCCCCCCTCAGCAAAGCCCCACCTCTGCAGGGGGACCCCAGCTCCTAGACACATCTTACCTCCCAGCTTCCAAGGGGACGTGACTGACAGGTTGTGCGTGTCTCTGCTCTTGGAATTTGGAGAAACCATTGACTTGGGCTATCTTAAGGCACAGGGACAGATAGGGGTGACATTTTTCCTTCTGTGTGAGGAAGAAGCGGGCAGAGGTGACCAGTCCAGGGAACCACAGCAAACTAGTCACAGAACAATTAAGGAACCAAGAAGTTGATCTAAGGCTGTGCTGGGCTTCAGAGCTCGTGGTCTCCGAGGACTGTCTTCCATTGCAGCTGGCAGCTGGGTTAGCTGGTGCATTCATTTCCTGTGGCTGCTGTAACAAACTACCACAAGCTTGGTGGCTTCAAACAGCACACATTTATCCCCTCAGAGTTCCTAAGGGCAGAATCTGAAGTCATTCTTTCTGGCTAAGTCGTGAGAGCAGAGCAGGCTCCCGCTGAAGGGTCTACGGAGAACCCGGTCCTTGCCTTTTCCAGCTTCTGAGGCTGCCTGCATCTCCTGGATCATGACTCCAAACCTTGCTGCCCTCATGGCATCTCCTACCTCTTACTTGTCTTTCTTGCTGCTCTTTGTAAGAACCTTGTGATTACACCTCAGTAATCCAGAAGAATCTCCCCTATCTAAAGGTCCTTCTCTTAACCACATTAGTAAAGTCCCCTTTCCACTTAAAGTAATGTATTTTCTGGTTTGGGGGATTAGGATGTGGGTCTCTGGGTGGGTCCATTTTGCAGCCATTCACAGACAGGCAGCCTAATGTGCAGGCTCTCTGTAAGCCCTCTTAGGGGCCAGGCAGTGGCTAACGCTGGGGAGTGAGGAAGGGAAGGACACAGAGGTTCAGACAACCTGCTGAGAAGATGAGAGCCAACACTAGAGCTGGTCCTAGAGCACAGGGTTCATGGGGAGAGACAGACAGGTGAGACAGGAAAGGAATTTGGGCCCAGATCACAAAGGACCTTGAAGAGCAGGTTTAAAAACTGGGATGTACCCTGCCCAATGGTTAAGCATCAATCCATGAACCAGGAGATGCCTGGTTTGCAGGCTCAATCCCCAATAGGAGGTATGCAGTAGGCAGCTGATTGATGACTCTCTCTCATCATTGATGTTTCCATCTCTATCTCCATCTCCCTTCCTCTCTGAAATCAATTAAAAACAACAACAAAACTTGGATATGATTCCCTAAGGGAAGCAGGGCCTGATTTCCCATGCCTAGGAATTACCAAGAATGCCCAGCCAGGCTGGAGCCCCATCTGACAGGGCCGAGTGGCCACCTGCCATCAACTTCAAGTTGAGCCTCAGCCAGACTAGGTTGGGAAAGAGGACCCGAGGCCACCTCCAGTGCTCCTCCCCCATGAGATGGAAAGAACAGCTTTGCTGTCTGACACATGGGGCCTGAATCCCATGGACCAGCTTCACGACCTTAGGCAAGTTACTGCAGCTCTCTGACTCAGTTTCCTACTAAGGAAACTAGCACTGTTAAGATTTGCCTAGCTTCTCTACAAAGCCGACATGCTGAGGCACCCAAAGGCATCCCAGAAGTCAACAGGCTGGACTTGGTGATAGTGCCCATCTTACTGGGAACCGTCTACTGAACCAGAAAATCGTGGAATTTTAGATATTAAAAGTCATCTAACTGGAGAGTCCCACATCACAATCAGCTGGGAGATTTTCTTAAAATCTAATAAAGACCCATCTAATTTTGGGTGGTTGGTGGAGCCACCCAAGATGATGCTCAGAGAAGCTACAGGACCCCCAAGTGGGGATCCTGGGTCATTCTCTCCACCACCCAGCCGAGGTGGATGGGATGGGGGTGGGGAGACTGCTGAGGCACTGGATGCCAGTGGGATGGAGCTAGAAAAGAGTATAGAGCAGCCAGGCATGGGGTGGGCCCTTCCTGCTCATCTCCAGGTGGGCCAGAGGTTCCTGCATCCCACACCCACCACGAGCTGGGCAATAGGAGGTGCCATCAGAATCACCAGCCCTTGCTAGGTGGTCCCAGGCAAAGTGCCCAGTCGTAGGGTATGCTTGGCCAGTCCAACCTTCTCCTCCCTGAAGCCTGGCTCTCTGGGTCACTGGTTAACGAATTTTCATAATACTTTGTTCTTGATACAGAAACAAATAACTGCTAACAATTTTATTATAAACTTCGTCCTCTCCCATCCTCCACTGGATAATAGGGTTTATCTAGAATTTCAGAATTGGAACAGACCTTAGAAATATGGTCCAAACCCCACCTTTTGTAAATGGAGAGACAGGGAGCCAGTCAGAGAAGGGACAAGGTCAGCATCACACAACCGGTCATGGAGAGGCTGGTCCAGGGCTGGTCCTCTCAGTGGTGCTCCTTGTGTTCCACAGCCAAGAGTACTGCACGTTTCTAGAATCACTCCAGTGGTGGCATCCAAGGTCAAGAACATGAGGGACATACACTGGGCCAGATAGTTCCCTTGACACCCCAAATATGACCTTGAGGATAGAGCTGTCTATGTGCAGATGAGCGCCCCCCCCACCACCTGCAGGCCATCCACCTGGCACACTAAAGCTATGGGTTTGAGGACCCCAGACTGTTGAGGAGACATAGACAACCCTCGGCCACTCTACTGCTCCCCATCACTAGGAAATGAGATCCCCAAGGGTTTGTGGGGCTGTTGGACTTTGACTTCCTCTCAGCCTCCTGGTGCTGCCCCTGGTGTGGCCAGAGTGAGACGCCGGTGTCTCAGTCAAGCCACTGGGATCTGAGCTGCTGGGTCACCCACACTGACCGGGCCTGTGTCTCTGTGTGCTCTCCAGGGACATCTCCAGGCTCCAAGATGGCCTTGCAGAGTTCCTTCACTTGCTGGAACGGGACAGTCCTCCAGCTCGGCCAGGCCTGCGACTTCCACCAGGACTGCACCCAGGGAGAAGATGAGGACCAGCTCTGCAGTGAGTAGATGGGCTACCCCACCCACCTCACCCCAGCCACGCTCACTTCCCTCCCCTGCCCATCACCCCATGCATTCCAACTTGGACTGCCGTCCTGTGTCCAGTGCCATTTGTGTCTCATCTCAGGGGCAACTTTCAAAAGCTGCACAGTCTTCAAGAGACTAAGATCTGTGGAGTGATAAAACTGTGGTCCAGAAACAGCATGAAAATTTAAGAACCAAACAAGATCTTATAAGTTATGCCCTCAATATCCTTGTACACAGAGGACATGTTCAGACGAATGCCCAGCTCTGTAACATGACTTTGAAGCCTGGACTTCCCTCACTTTTCAATCCTTATCTTTCATCACCCACTGCCTCTCTCATCCTCCCAGGCTCCCATGCACCCCAGGTCTGGCCATATCAGACTGCTTCTCAGCTCCCTCAAACCTCCCTGGCTTTGTGTGTGTGGTATTCCTTGCCCAGAATGCCCTATCCCTTCTCAAGTCCTACCTGCTCCTTCAAGACCCACCTCAGGAGTTGATTTTTCTGGGAAACCTCCTGTCACCAACCCCACAGGACAGTTGGTTTTTCTTTCTCTGGGCCTCCTGTTCCAACTCAGTGTATCTTCCACCCACCATAGCATCCATTATTTTTTAACAGTTTTTTTTTCTTTTTAGCTATAGTTCATACTATAGCTATAGTATACCATACAACCCACTTACTTAAAGTATGCAAGCCAGGGTTTTTTAGCATAGTCATGGTGTGCAACCATCACTATTAGTTTTAGAACATTTTTAATCACTTCACAAAGAAACTCCTAGAAATTTTTCCTGACTTTCCCCCAACTATGCCCCCTCCCCTAGCCATAAGCAGCCATAATCTACCTTCTGTTTCTATAGATTTGCCTATTCTGGGCACTTCATATAAATAGAATCGTCCAATATGTGGTCTTTTGTGATTAATTTCTTCACTTAGCATAATGTTTCCAAGGGTAGCCCAAGCATCAGTGTTTATCAGTCCTTTGTGTATGGTTATTGCCAAATAATATTCATTGTACAGATAACCACAGTTAGTTTAGCCTTTCATCAGTTGACAGGCACTTGGGTTGTTCCCACTTTGGTGCTATTATGAATAATGTTGCTATGGACATTTATGTACAAGTTATGTAGACAGATGTTTTTATTTCTCTTGGATATATACCTAAGAGTAGAATTGCTGGGTCATATGATAACTCTATATTTAACAGTTTGAGGAACTGCCAAGCTGTTTTCAAAGTGCTGCACCATTTTACATTCCCACCAGTAATGTATATCAGTTCTAGTTTCTCCACATCCTTGCCAACATTTATTATTATCTGCCTTTCTGTTTTAGCCATCTTAGAGGGTGCACATCTATTACATTTCAATAAGGGTGGTTTCCATGTTTCTCTCCCTCTCTGTGGGCAGATGGGGTTTGGTACTCTTCCCTGTACCAATATTTCACATGATTCCTGGTACAACTGACACTTTGTTCATTAAAATGAATAAATGAGTTGGAAAACTTGAGCTCCATAGAGGAAAACAAGTTGCTGAGGCCTCATTGGTAGTTAGTAGCAGCATTAAACTCCCAGCCCAGTGCTCACTCCACTTCAGTACAGCGTCCTCAGAAGCTATTTGGCTAGGAGTAAACACTAGAGGTTTTTACATTTTCCCCAGGGAAACTGAAAACACAGAACACATGTAATGTGAGCTAGAAAAGATGCTGGATCCTGGAGCAGAGATGAAAACACAGCACCTGCCCTCGAGCTGAAACTCCAACATGGGGCAGGAGAGGAAACAACAGAACAGGGTTGGGAAGCAGCAGCAGGTGTGTGCCTGGGTGCTGTGGGGCCCAGATACAGCAGCCAATGCTTGCCTCCCAGACACCAGCCCAGTGACACCGGCCTGCAAAACAGCTTTAAAAAGTTAAGAATGTTTCCCAGGTCATCTGGAGGACAGACTTTCCCTTGAGGGGAAGCGGTTTTATTTATTCTCTTATAAATGAAGCAATAAAGAAATCCATTTTTCAACTTAAAAACTACCTTTTATGCAAAACTTTTGAGGGAAGTTTTCCAATCTTGATGGGATTGCGGTTGTTTAGATCAACCCAGTAAGGAGTTGCAGGTAGGGGGCCTCGTCTGCCCACATGGTCTGGCTCCTGGCCTGTCTCGCAGACTTTCACTCTGCATGTGGCCCAAATGAACTTAGCCACCAAGCTGCCCAGGCTGAGGCCTCTGTGTGTCTCTAGTTATTGGTCTCTGCAGTATTTCCAGCAGTGCCTCTGAGCTGTGTGATTTTGCTTTTGCCTTTTTTTTTTTTTTTTTTAAGTTTTTTTATGCCCACTTCCCAGCAGGGACACAGGTCAGGCAGGGCATGCCCTGATTTACAATTGGGAAAATGAAACCACAGAGAAGGTAATTGATTTGTTGGGGTCACACAGCATGTCAGGAGGAGAGCCATGATTAGAGCATTGAGCCTGCAGGATCTGCCCATTACTGTGAGCTCAGTGCATTTTCCCACCATTCAGGGACTTGCCATTAACAAGTTTCCAGGACCAACTCCAAGCTGGAGGGCAGCCTCGCTGCAGGCCTGAGGGCAGGCACCTGGGGCCCTGTGGCCTTTCCAGCTACACTTGAGCAGCTGCTCTGACCAGCTGTCAAATGACAGCTCCACACTGGAGAGTACCCCCACCAAGGTCTTAGCTACAGAAATCGGTTGCTAGGAAGAAAAGTTCAATCCAGAAGGAGGGTTATTTCAATCTTTTTGCCACTCTGATCTTTACAGTACCATTAGCCACCATCATTCTCCTTGATTTGTGCCCCACTCTCTGTGGGATATTTTCTGTCTTCCCTATCACATTGACTGGTGTTGATTCTGGAAACCAACCCCATGAAGATAGCAACAGCAGTAATAATATCGGCTAACATTTATTGAGCATTACTATGTCCTGGGAGCTGTTCCAACCACTTTGCATATATTAACTTATTTCACCCTTACAACAATCCTATGTGATGCCATTACACCCACCTTAGAGATGAGGAACCTGAAGTCCAATGTCAAACTTTTAGCCAGTGGCTGAGCAGTGATTCAGACTCAGTCTGACTCCAAAGCCCACACTCTGAACCGGCACAAGCCAAACTCTTGTTCTGTGAGTTTCTAGCAGCTGGTTCTGCTGAGCACAACCCTAGCTATATTTCTACCCAGGAAGAAGGGACTAGGAAAAGGTTAGGGAAGTAAGTTGGGGGTAAGATCATGCATCCCCACCTCTGGGCCTCAATTTCCTCATCTGTAATGTGAGTTGGAACATGATGCCCACTGATGTGTTATGTGTCGATGTCCAATGCTCTTGACTTCACCTGATCCTTCCCAGGTAGTCTGGAATCTATTAGAATGTTTTCTCTGAGCAGGCGCTCACCTACTGGGGATGTCCAGATCTTCTAAGGAACCCCCACAAGCGTCGCCAATCTTGGTCCAGGGTAGTCAACCAAGTCTGGCCATGGTTGGAATTCGAAGGGAGAAGTGGGCTCTATCCCACCAATTCAGCCTCAACTCCACGCTCTCCCCAAAAGGAATTCCCACACCTGTTGGGGCTTCACTCGATTCTCAGACTCAACCCCAAGCAATATCTCTGTCTGAGATAAGTGGGGACCTGACATGGAGGAGGCGGCATTGCCCTTGCCCTTCTCCATCCAATCGCCAACCTGTCCATTCACACCTGGTCCTCCACATCCATCCTTCTTCCCTCATTCCACTTAAACATTACTGATTCAAGTGAGACATCCAGGATGCTATCACCCATTGAAGGGTGTCTTTGAGGGCCCCTGGGTGTTGAGCAGTGGCCTCATGGCACATGGCTCCCCAGGAAAGGATGAGGTGTTCTCGCTTCATCCCCTGGATAAGTCATTGACTCACCAGGTATTTGCAAGCAGCTCACTCCCCCTCCGTGTACTTAATAATCTCATCTATTTAGTGGGGATACTTTCCCTGTCAGGCAAAACAGGTTTTTTTATGTTTCTTTATTGTAAAATAAAACATGTTGGTTGTAAAATATTTGAAAAATCTAGAGAAGTACACAGAAGAAAATAACTATCACCCATAATCCTCCTTCTCAGACATTCAGAGATAACCATAATATTTTGATGTATTTCTTCTAACATTTTCCCCCATGACTCTATATTTTCAAGGAAATGTATAACGCATATTTATCAAAAATGTTAACTGAGTTGTCACACAGGAAGGAAAAGAAGTGGTGCCATTTGGCCTGGAGTTTGTACTTGGCATTTTCTACCGCTGTTGCTGAGGTCACATCTCCGTGACTCCACAAATCTGTCTCTCTTAGAGTGGAATCAGGTGTCATAATTGCCAATGTTGTGGGATTGATTGACCCACACACAGCCCTACCTGCCATCCGGCCAATGAAATATTTGGCTGCAGCCCAAGGAGAGGGTGGGGTAGAGCAGTGCTGCACAGACATTAGGAATTTTTATAAAACAGATTCCAATTCTGGAGATGGGGTTGACGTGTGGGACCTGATATTCCACACTTCTCAGTTTCACAGGTAATGCGGATGCAGCTGGTCCCTGGACCACATTTTGAGTGACAGGGGGTAGAGGACTGAATTCACTCCCATTTCATCAGCAACTAAGTATGGTGATCCTACAGTGTGCCAAACACTGCTCAGGTGCCTGAGGTGGATGAGAGGAGAAAGGGATGGTCAGAGTAGGAGTTGACATTAGACCCAACCCTGTGTGCCAACGTTGTGCTCAGCAATTGGCCTTAGTGGCAATTTCCCAAACCCGGTCTAATTCACCAAGGACCTCTGCTCTGATGCCCATGCCCATCAGCTTCCTTAGGAGTGGCTTCTTGCTGAACACACAGCCCCAATGTGTTTGCAGTAGTGGACATCCTCTTATCCCCTCCCCACCCACCCTTTGAGGTTTCAGTTATCACATCAATTGTCCAGTGACCGAGTCTGCCTACCTCCTGAAGAGAACGGGGCTGCCAGTCCCAGATCACCCTGCATCCTGTGCCAAGTTAGAATAAGCTAGGATAGAAGGTGGAGAGTGCCAGTGGCTGTCCTCACTCCTGCACAGGTGGAAGGCACAGGTGTCTCCAGAAAGGCAGCTGAGAGACTGTCTCTGCCTCCGGGTAGTGTGGGCTGTTGTAGCGCACCCCCTGGCGAGCTCCCCTGCCCAGGGGAGAAGGATGATGAATAAGGCCACCACCGCTGGTATTTGCTCAACCCTGTCTGTTTATAAAATGTTCCCACACTCTCTCTTCCATTTTGTCCTCAAAACAGCCCTGTGACATAGACACTACTATTACTCCATTTTGCAGAGGAGGGAGCTGGGGCTGAGGAAGAAAGTGCTTGCCTGAGGTTGCACAGTAGGCAGCAGGGAGGCTAGGCTAAAGCTCAGGGGGCACACTCCAGGGCTGTTGAGGTATCAGCACCCATGAATCAAGATCTCCCCCTCGCCTCCTGAAAGGGTGAGGAGAGGGTGAGATGCCCTGCAGGCCCCAGCTCACCCCTGCCTCCTCCTCCTAACGGAAGCCCATCACCTGCTAGCATCTTCCATTGTCGTACCCGGTTAAACACGCTTGTAAAGGACGCTCCCCGGAAGGTCACCAGTTAGTTTTTGCAGAAGAAGTGGATATGGGATCCCTTGAGGGGGGCATAAAAATAAAACAGAAAGATCTCCTTAGCTGTTGGATTTTTAATCAGAGGAACATGCAGGACTTGGGGAAATGACTTCTTCAGGGGGGTATAAATGGGAAGAGATGTCCAAGTCGTGACAGCCTGTTTTAATTTATAATGCTGCCTCTGTGTGAAATGCACAGAGAATCGGGGGGAAATGAGCAATAATTCACGAAGGTGCTGTCACAGCCAGGAAGCGTCAGAGCCCTCTGTGCTAGCCTGCCACTGCCAAAAAGGCAAGACGGAGGAGGGACAGTGTCGTGGTTCAGTCTCTCTTGCACAGGGCGTAGCCAGGCCAGGGTCTGCTGGGAGCTGTCACCACAGCCTGCGATGCCCACTCAGGGCTGAGCGCCTTCCCTGCAGCCGTTCTCTCAGTCAGCTGTAGAGCATAAGGCCTCTCTAACCTTCTTCCCTGCCCTCCTCCCTCTGTGGGCAGCGGCGAAATATATGGTCTATGAAGCTTACTGTGGCCTCTTCAATGGGACCTGAGGTCAGTCTGATGCAGAGAAAAGGATAATGGGGCTATTTATGCTGAACCAACAGATGCTGTAAAGAGGCTCCAGTAACTGGGATTGCTTGGTCAGGATAGGCGAGGTTCTGCTGCAGTAATAAGCCATCCCTAATTTTAGGGTTGGGTGAGGGGCTCTGCTCCGTAGGGTCTCTCTGAGACGCAGGCTGGCAGGGACTCCACATCATGCAGCAGCATCCCCAGGAACAGGAAGTGTCCTTGGCCCCTCAGCAGGGGAAAGGAGACTGAAGAATTGTGCAGAGCTTTCCGCAGCTCCATCCAGAAGAGGCACACATCCCTTCCGCCCACATTGCATTGGCCAGAACTGCTCATGTGGCTTCACTTTACTGCAAGGGGCTTGGGAAACGGGAGCAAAAAGGAAGTTCTGAGCAAGTGTGTCTCTGCACACAGGTGATTTGAGGGACCCAAACCAATTCCAGGCCAACACTGCCACTGCTGCTGTTATATTCATGCCTTTGGGCTGAGCTTCAGGAGTGTACTCCAGTGAGCACACGTGGGTTTCTCCCTGGGACACGTTCTTGGTGGGTCTGTGTAGAAATTTAGAAATAGAAGAGCTAGGTTCCAGTCCCAGCTGGAGTACCTGCTGGCTAGGTGACCTTGGTGAGGTTGCTCTACATCTCTGAGCCTCTGCTTTGTCATGTCTAAAACTGGGTCAACAATACCCATTGTTATGGAGCTGTTGCTATTACGTTTTTTCTGAAGATTAGAAAATCGTAAACAGCACATGTACAAGTTGGGGATTGGGGCGTCTCTTCATCACAATCAGTATCATCAGCCATCAAGGAAGCTGTTATTAGTGAGGACAGTGTGGTCACCTGGCGAATTATACTTGGCTTGGCATGGTTTGCATCCAGCTTCCAGGAAATGCCTGTCCCTGTGCTTTCTCTGCAGGTAAGCTCCCTGCTGGTTTCTACTGCAGCTTCGAGGATGGCTTCTGTGGCTGGTCCCAAGGAACACTCTCACCCCATGGGCCCCAGTGGCAGGTCAAGACCCTAAAGGAGGCCCGGTTCCAGGACCGCCAAGGTACTGCCACTCCTCTCCTTCCCCCTGGTGCCCACCCCCCTCCCCAGCCAGATGAGAGACTTAGGGCACTGCCCAGGGCAGCTGGACCTTGTCCCACCCTGCAGAGCAAGCCTGGGTGGGTGGGTGGCTGTCCTGAGCTTGCTGTGGGGTGCTCCACATTGTGTCAGCTTAGAATTAGGCCCAGGTAGATGTCACCTTTTGTTCCTTAAAATGAGAGTCTTGCTGAAGAGTTCGCTGAAATATAAAAACAGCAGCAACAGTAATAATCCATTCATTTGACAAGTATGTGTTGAGACCTACTGTGTGGCAGGCCCATTACTCATTGAGAGGTAAGGAAGTGTAGCTCTCTTTATGGCGGGGTACAGAGGCGATGAGGCACTTCAAGCCGCTCCTGGCCTCCGGGCTGAAGCTGGTGGCCCTTAAGAGATCAGAGATGCAGAAGCTCAGTTCTATGATGCTAGGACATCATGGGCCCTTGGGAATGAAGACTTTTGCAAGCCACGTTCTGGGTCAGTAACAAGCAGGCTGTCTTATCCACTGGGGGCAGCAGAGAGCCACTACCTCAAAGATGTTCTGAGGCCAGAGGAGATGTTCCCATGAACCCCTGCGCTTACTAACCCCATACTGTACCCTCGGGCCCTTCAGTGCGTGATGATGGTGCAGCTTTGACTCTTCTCCTCTCTGCCCAGGCCACGCCCTGTTGCTCAACACCACCGAGGTGCCCACACCTGCAAGCGCTGCAGTGACCAGCACCACGTTCCCCGCACCGATGAAGAACTCTCCGTGTGAGGCAAGTCTCCATGTTCCTCTGTTCTTCAACTTCTCCTCCCACACTCTCCCCTCTGCACTTCCAGGCGAACCCAAACAGGGAGCAAAGTGGCCTGAGGTCAGGCTGCTCACAGGACGGAGGGCAGTGGGGCCACTTTCGCCATCTTCCAGGCAGAGAGAGCCCACTGACGTGGTGAGGTCCCACCTGCAGAGAACCTCACCTCAAACGCCATCCTCAGCAGCCCTGAGCCTCTGCAGTGGCTTTTGATTTAAGCAAACCGGGGAAATACTTCTGAGGCATCAGAGGGGAGGGGAACAGTGATTTACAAAAGACTTCCTACAGAGTCCTTTTTAAAAATAGCAATCTCTTGTTATGCATTTCAGGTGTTATAGAGCCTCAGAAATTTGATTTACATAGATTTCAGTAAGACATCAGAGGCATTCAGGGCTGTACCTCGAAAGTCACTCACCCAAGAGGTTCTTCTAGCTGTTACCTCTCAGGGTGAGGATGGAGGGAGTGGCGCCATGTTTTTTAGCATAAGGTCATGTTCTCCAGGGTCCAAGAAATGTGCTTAGAACGAGGTTCCAGTCAGGTTCCACCCCTGATTGGTTGAACTGTTTATTTGGGCAGCTAATAACCTCTCAGGGCCTCATTTTCTTCATCTGGAAGGTGGAGACAGTAAGGGTGCCTACCCCAAGGAGGTGAGAATGAAATAGGTGAATGTGTGCATAGGGCTAGCATCTGGCACAGATTAAGCATGACAAGAGTCAGCCCACCATGCCTCGCACTCTGTATAAACACATGACATAAGGATGGGGCAGAGAAAGAGGACTTGAGCCCAAAATCAGACTCTCCGCTCTGGGCTCTGGGAAGGCGGGGCCCTGACTGCACGTCTTTGCTCCTCCCTCTCCCCCTCCACCCCCACCCCTCAGTCAATCAATACCTTTCACACAGTGAAAAGCCTATGGTTGATCCTCTCTTTCTGGAAACTTACAGGAGAAATTCCTTGCTGGCTTGTTTCAGGAATAGCTAGTATTAAGGTGACCAGACCTCCCACATTTGGCGGGACAGTCCCGATTTTTAACAATTTGTCCCACATCCTGCTTTTAAAAAGTCCTGATTTTTTTTAAAGAATGCATGACAAGCTAGAGAATGGCAGGAGAATATACGGTTTTCAGTGGCCATGTCAATGGTGTCCCACTTTACCAATGTTAAAATCTGGTCACCTTAACTAGTTGCCCTCTGACTAATTTGTTTCCCTTTGTGACACTTTTGTGGCCTTTGTGACACTGAGAGCTTTGCTTCCTCTCTGCTGACTGGTAGAATCCCGGGAGCTGTGGCTCTTACCCGCAGCTTCCCTGCCCAGGGGTGCAGGCAAACGCAAGCCTTCCAGGCTTTGTGTGAACTAAAACTTCACAGGCATAAATTAAATGCGAACGGAAAAGATACAGGAATGAATTTTTTTAATCAGAGGAAAGGTCAAACTAAATCCAAGGCTCCCTCTTCGTGAACACATAGGGCTCCGGGATGTGTTGTTTGCAGCAGCCTCACTCCTGGTCCCAGTTTATAACAACATCCGCCCCGCCTTTCCCACCCTTTCTAGTTTACGGTATCTGACTACATTTTTTATGTATCTCTGCGAGCTACCTTAAATCCTTTAGGGAAGAAGTCAGGGCACAAATAAATAGATCCATTACGCTCAATTGTATCTGAGAAGCCGCGCTTTCTTTTGCAGATGGTGGCCTTACACAGCCATCATCATCGCTGGTATCTCTCAGGTGCCTCTGAGCAGGTGCCTGGAAAGGAAGGCTCCTTAGGAGGAAATCTAAATGCGGAGAGACGGTGGCCCACTGGGAGGCGAGGGGATCCTTAAAAGCATTTGATCTTTAAATTTGCTCTTCGCTGGGTGTAATAGAGCCTGATTTTAGAAAAAGAAATGTCGAGGTGAAAATGATATTTTCCTAACGCTTCACCATCTCTCTAATAACCTTTGGGTTGATCAATAGCTTAAATGGGTGTTTTTGTTTTACTGCCCTGTTTTCTTTTTCCTCCGGCCACACTGGCTCTGGGCTCTTTCTGCTGGTTCCTGCCCTTTTCCAGCAGGTGGCTCAGCAGGAGTAATGGAGGGGAGGCAGTGAGCCGTCCCTCAGCTCACGTTGTTTCAGCCTCTCAGACATTCATCCAGGACTGACGGGTCTTTGAATCCGCAGTGCTGGGGAAGTGTTTTCATCAGAAAGAATAAATAACCAACACAGAAATATGCATTTCCAGGTTTGTAGGCCTGCCCCCTTATTTCACCCAAATCCTAAATGCAGACGCAGGGACTTGATCGTCTTCTCTCGGACCTGCTGAGCGAACATTAGTGACAGGAAACGGATGTTGCATTGCTCAGTGAGCCGGTGTGAGCTTAACCCTACGGGGCCTCTGTTGGCTGCAGGGCCCTGGTGCAGGAGGGCGGATGCCAGAGAGAGCCATGGCCGGTCTCCAATGAGTCAGGCCCAAAGGACTGGCAGCTAGCCTAGATGGGCTCCAGGGCTGATACCCACCACCCCACGTCTGTTCCAAGCCCAGAGCAGGCTGGTCCGTGCGGCCTCCGGGGAGCTGAAGTGCTTGCAGAATATCACAAAGTGCTTTCTCAAGAAACCCCACAGTCCTCAGTGGATTCCATAGGGGAACGGGTGTCACCTTCAGTGCAGTTCCATGGAAATCTACATACGTGTTTCTCCAGTTGCAGTCACTTGTAACCTGTAGTGAATGCAGAGTCTTGGGCCCCACCCTGGGCTCCCAGATGGCATCACTGAGCAGAACCCAGACTCCGCATTTTCAAACCCCACCTCCGTAAAGGTGTAAACTGAAGTGTGTAAACTGAAGCTTGAGAGCAATTGGCCCAAAGTGTCCTTGCCAATGTGACTGGAATTTATTCTGAGCCCACGCTGAGAGTTTTCCTCCAGGGCCTGTGGCTCCAAAGTGTGCCCTGTGATTTGCCTTTCAGAAGGATACGTCAGAGAAGGAATTAGAAATGACAGGGTAGGGGACAGAGCCAGCGAGACAGGGGCGCTGGAAGAGCACCGTCAGAGCCCACAGGGAGCCAAGTCAGGCGCCCACCGATGATGGAGACATAGCCAGGGTGTGCCTTTGTGGTACCAGCCACCTTCCAGGGCATTCCCGAAGCATGCCAGCTCTGGGCTCCTCCGGGTGCCTCCGGCCTCTGCCTCTCCCTGTGCTGGCCTTGGTGCGGGCCCTGCCTTCTCGCTGCTCTGCACACTTGCATTGGGGGCATGAATATTTTAAGTCCTCTGCCTAGCCCAGCTGTAAATGAGAGCTTTGTGGGGTTGTTGTCCCCCCTATTTCCCAATAGCTATTCTCTGTGGGAAACTAGGGAGACACCTACAATATATTCAGATTTTCTTTTCTTTTTATGTTTGTTCTGCTGAACTCCAGTTCAAATAATTAAAGTTGCCACGGGGGAGGGGAGCCTTGCAGCGGCTGTTATGTGTCGCTTGCTGTCAGACCTGCTTGCGTCCCCTTGGCTGGAAGACACAGGGGGATGTGTCTGGCATTGCAGCTGCCAGTGATAAAGAGGCCCCGAGAGTGGCAGGGCCGTCTGGCCCCGCCCCCTGCCTTTCACACATCCGGGAAGGCTGAATGTCTCCACAAACCCTCCTGTGGTTTGAGGTTGTATTTTATTTGAATAGCCTGCCTGTGACTGGAATATTTTAAGCCGTGTTCTCAGGACAGAACAAGGTCTGGGATGGGAGGGGGGAATTGGGCTTCCCTCATTCTTTTTCCCAAAACAAAAAAAAAACCCATGGAGCAGCTTTCCTCCTATGAGCTGCAGGAATGAAAGGACCCAGGAAGTGTGGGACAAGGCCCACTGGACTGCGGGGAGACCCTAGGGCAGGGCAGTCCCCAGTGCTGGTTGTCTGACCCTCCCAGAGTGGCAGCCACCCTGTCCTCTCTTTACACACACGGGTGTACACATAGACCACACACACACACACACACACACACACACACACACACGGGATACGGGATACGGGATCCTGGGACATGGCTGGGCCTCCTTTCTGCCCCTGACATCAGCCCTATGGTGGTAAAAGGACAGCTTTAATTAGCCACTCAGGGCAGCAGGTGGCCAGCGGGCTCCTCCATGGCACCACGGACTACCTGGCCTGCGGGGAAGGAGGCCTCCCCTCACTGTCACTGAAACCAGCAGATGTGGCCCAAAGGGATGTGGGAGGGGAGGCTGGCACCTGGACCGCCCTCTGGCATCCTGAGGAGCCCCTGTGGGAGAATCCTGCCTGCGACTGTGCACAGCTGGCCAGCAGGGCAGCCATGCATCCCTAGGACACAAGAGCATCTCCCCTTTCCCAGGGGATCCCCTTCGAATGGGGCAGCAGCAATAAATGAGGGGGCAAGAGAGAATGGAGAGGAAGACTAAAAAGAAGTCACCAAGGCAGGGAGGGAGCCTGGGAAGTAACCAGAGCAGGTCACGTGCCCCTCGTTTCAGAAGCCCAGATGGGGCACTCCTGCACCAGTACCTCTCTCTGTGTGACCTCACTCCCCCCACCACCACACCACTATTAAGCCCATGCATAGCATGTTTGGCTGCCCCACCCCCACCCCATGAGTCCCTGAACTGATGCTGGTATGAGACTCCAGGGGGCCTTAATTCTGGCAGCCACTCATCCCAGTGATGGGACCGTCATTTCAGAGGGCCTTAGGCTGGGGCCTAAAATTGTGCCTCCACATCAGAGGGCAGGAGCAGGGCCAGAAGCGCTTCCTGAGGCATTTTCTAAATGGCTTTCCTGAAGTCCCGCTGGATGAGTAGGAGACTTGGGACCTCACTTTCAGAAGAGAAGCTAACGACGGCCATGTCATGCACCTGTAATAGCATCACTGCTACAAGGATGCCCTATGCACACACCAAAGACTGCAGGGACTGGCTGTCCTCCATACAGCCACCTGTGAGGTGATTGAAATCCTCCCCGAGGACCAGGTGATGCCCGAGCATGCAGAACCTGGACTCAAACCTGAACCCCACACTTCAAAGGCACCTGCTCAGAGGTTTTCTCTGAGGAGTCAGCCGGCAGAAGCCTCAGACGAAAAGTCTGGGCAGCTGCAGGCATGGACCAGAGGCAGCACGGGAAGTGGCTGGCTTGGATGGGCACACAGATGCCTGGCAGGAGGGTAAGAGAGGGGAGGTTGGGTACAGAGGGTCCTCAGTCAGGTGGTGAGCCAGCAAGTCGTCATTTCAAACCCACATGTGGCCAGCCAGGCTGGAGACAGACCGCAGGAACCTGGGATCTCTTTAGACGCAGCACAAAAGTTAAGAATAATAGGTCCTGGTCTCCAGGTGTCTTAGGAGTCACTCAGCTGCATTACATTAAAAATAAATTTCAAATTCTTAACCGGAGCCTTCCAACACCCTCCCTCTTTGCACCATGAGGAAAAAGAAGCCTTCCCTTAGTCAGGGGGCTGAGGGTAGGGACCCTTCATAACTGTTAAGCTGACATAGGGAGCATTTTTAATCTATTACTCGCTTGTTATGTGGCTGGCACTGTGCTAAGTATTTCATTTGCTTTATCTCATTACCACAACAGTCCTGTGAGAGACTGTTACACTCATTCACTGATGCGGAACCTGCTGCTTACAGCGCTTTCGTGACTTGTCCAAGGTCACCTTGCTAGTGAGAGGCAGGGCCAGGACTGAAGCCAGGTTTGTCCAACTCCAGAGTCAGATCTGCACACACTCTAAGGTCATTGAACTTCACTTAGGTCACCTGAATTTGAATCCCAGCTCTGCCACCTATGAGCCATAAGACCTCACGCACTGCCGCTAACTGGGGATGGTAATACCTGTTTTCCTTACAAGGATCAAACAAAAATGTGCAGACTACAAACTCTACAATATGTTATGAATTTCCAAGATTATTATTATCCCTCTTTTTAATTTGCACAGGCATGAAGGAGTGAGTGCAGACATAAAGTCAGGCATTGTGTGTTCTTATTTCTCCTCTGGGTCAATCAGCACTGGGCAGACAGGTTGGGAGCCCAGCGTTGGTACCAGGAGGATGTGCCTGATGAAGCCATGTAATCAATAATCATTTTAATTAATTAATTAATCAATTGGGCAGCTCCACTGTTGTGAGCATGACCCTGGTTCAGAGTGAGAGCTAACAAGGAGACTCCTCATTGATTCTCCAGGATCCACCAAGTGTGGCCCCACTGGGATTTCTGAGCCCAGCGAGTTCTCACCTCAGTTCCTGGAGCTGGGACGCTGCTGGATCCCAGCATCCCCTCACCTCTTATTGTGATGCGGTTGACGCTGCTGGGACTCAAGCTAATGGGCTAAAGTAATCAACAGCCATTGTAATTGCAGTTGGACATAATTAATTTAAAACCTTTGAGCCATTCAAAATTAATACCTCTGCCATTACATGATGAGACAAATGAAGAATTACTATCAGGGCTCTGGGTGAGAATAAAACCCTTCGGGCACTTGGCAGAGTTTTGGATCCCCTTCAAAACCTGCGTGTTAACATGGACCCTCGTGGCCCCCACTGGGGACTGAGATAACATATTCAGGTGGCCCAGATACAGAGGGACCTTGCGGAAAACACAGACTCTCCCCAGCCATCAAATAATAAACATTCCCCGGGTGCCTGGAGTCCCTTCTCTTTCCAGTGGCTGTCTGGACAATAGTTTCCCAGCCATAGGATTACAAAGCTACTTCACTGCATCGACCCCATTATACACAGAGAAACTGAGGCACAGATGAGGCTGGTAGCCCAAGGTCATACCATTACAGTGTAACTCAAAGGAAAATACCACCTTTTTCTTCCCATAAGACTGGAAAGATAACTTTCTGGTGAACCTGGGAGATAAAACACTGGACTGAAATGTTGAACACAGTATCCTTCATCCTACCTTATTGTTTTGTGTGAGCTGTTTATCTCTAACATGAGATTCCCTGCTATTCTTTCCAATGCAGGAGAAAGGAACCAACATTGAGCAAAAGTATTTGCTACACAGAGCAGTGGGCTCCCATAATCTTGGTAAAGTCTCCCAGTAACTCTACAAGGAGAGTATGATGGGCCTCATTTTACAGATGAAAGCTGA